GCGCAAATTTTCCCACAAGAATACATGTAAATGGTACAAGTTAGAAGGAACCATTATATACCGTATAGGGTACGAACAGTGCTCTCACTTAAACCAAGCACGTGGCCAAACTCCGACACACACTCTCCTCTCTGAAGGCAGGTGATCACATTTAATTTCACGTCTATTGCGATTGTTTTTCAAGCCTTATTAGCTTTAGGCGCCCCAGAGGAAGCAGATGGACGTTTTCCAGACATGCTCAATGGGGAAAACAGCGTTTAACACTAAAAAGGTACATGATAAACACTCGAAGCAATTGAGAGCAGCGAGAAAAAGTAGTGCTGGTGTGAACTGAGAAAGTGATACACAGGAAGCTTGCGGGACTTCATCACAGTTGTTGTACAGAATACTTCAGCATCATCACTATCTTCATCATTAGTAGTAATAATCTTTATTATTACATTATTATTATCAATAATATTAAAATCATTGATGTTGATATGACTTGACTTTATAGTAATAACTTACAAGCACCTCACAAGGCATCAAACACGACTCCACTGTCAGGTGAATACAAGCGGCAAATTTAAATGGTCTTGAGCACATTATTTAAAAAACAGGTGCACGTGAATTAGCTTTTGGTATAAACTAAACCATCGCGTTATTCCAAAAACGCTTAAACCAAACACGAGTTACCTGTATACAGCAAATACTTAACATCCATAACCCTTAGGATTAAGCATACCCGGTACTTGTGGATTTATTCTTTTTTATAAAACTGAAGGATAGCCAACACCAGGTGTTCAATTTTTTTTCATTTCTTCCACATATTATGGTATAGTAAATCACCTATAGTAGGCAGGGGCTGCAGGAAATTGCAGGGTAAAACACTGAAAGACTGATAAGACACAAATGAGGTCTCAACACCGTTTGTATATGAAAATAAGTATTTACCATAAAACTCCTCCGAAAAATCTGCCAAGTCACTGTGTTTTCGTCTGTTCAGTTTGCTTACAACCAACCCCCTCGGTCTGAGCGTATTCTCACGTCCACAAAATACTGTACATCAAAATTATACCATGACGCTTCAACAAAGTTGCTTTCAGTGGTATCATATCAAAATAAATACAGTACTTTGTTTAATATGGCAGGGAGGCCAGGTTAGGAAGTTAAGATAAGAACATCCATGGAAAAAATTAACAAAATTTAACAATGCCTTCTGGTGTTGCCATTTTCTATAGGATTACTGAATTTTTTGTGGATTTTAGTAATATGGGTCAAAGACTGCAATCTGAATTATATAACCTTTACAGTTTCTCAGTACCTATTTTGATGTAGCAAATGCCATGATACAGATTCAATTAATGTAACCACCCAGCTATAGAATCACAAGACATCTTTAATTTGGGACTAAACTGGCTTCACACAAAAGCCAGATGTATGATCAACTTCACTGCCACAGCTTAAATTACATACACATAAGCCAATCAAGGTCAGCCAATAATGGTAGGCCTTAACATTATAGTATCACTTGGGATGCTTTATGGGTCATTATAAAGGTAATATTTATGAAAAATAGCTATAACAAACACCCAGAACAACCATACAACTTCACTACCATGCATTCAGACAGCAAATATGACCAAGTGGTGTGGTCAACACACAAACTTACACTTTGATGCCAGGAGAATCATCTGTGTAGAACCGCCACATGCCCCCAGTGGATGCTGTACTCCGACCAGAGGTAGTGGTTGTAGCCTTACGTTGTCTTACTGTAGAGCCCCCTGCAGATCCACCTCCACTGCGGGGAGACACTGTTCGTGATGGGGACCGTGCAACTGCCCCTACATTAGTTGAGCTTGGTGAAGCCGGCTGAAAAATGAGGGTATGTTACTCATAAGAGCAATGTTAAAACTTGAAGAGTGTAATGCCTTAGCCAGGTATATGCCATACAGCTCCTCCCCGACTTACGACCACCCGCATTACAACCTGCTCGGTCCGTAACGACCACCCGCACATACAACAGCCGCAGTTGGTACCAAATTTTTTTTTCAAATGACACGCGCATTTTCTATACCAAAACGTTTCCGTCCCATGCAAGAGCGTCGCGTGGCTTGGGTTGCAGCATGGCTACAGCACCCACGCCGTAGAGCACTTAGTTGGTGTTTGGCTGTTGTTGTATCCGCAACTGATCGCCCTGTGTACTGACATTATTTTTGTATTTAATTGACTTTAGAATGACTGGAAAGCATACAAGTGAGAGTGCTGGTAGGGCTCAGAAGAAAAGGGGACAGTCAATTACTTATGAGACAAATGATAATAATGCAATATGAGAATAGAAAAACTAGCAACAATTTTACGCGACCTAGGCTTCTCGCACTCGACCATATCTACTATTTTGAAGGACAAGGAACGTATTCGTGAGGTAGTGAAAGGATCAGCACCTATAAAGGGAACTGTAACAACGAAGAAAAGACAAGATCCCATTCACGAGATGAAAAAATTGTGATATGGATGGAAGACCAGATACAAAAGCCTGTACCCTTAAGCCTTCTAACCCTACAGGCTAAGGCAAGAAGCCTGAAGGAGCAGGCAGGAGATGAGTGCGAGCAAAACTTTACAGCAAGTCATGGGTGGTTTAACAGACTTCAGAACCGCTACAGTTTACATAATGATAAGGTGAGTGGAGAGGCAGCTAGTGCTGATGGTGCTGCCGAAGCTTTTAAAGATGAGCTAGATCGTGTCATCGTGGAAGGAAATTATTTGCCTGAGCAAATATTCAAAGTGGAGGAAACTGGATTATTAAGGAAGCGCATGCCTGAACAGACACACATCCACAGAGGCAAAAACAATGCCAGGATTTAAGGCATTCAAGAACCGAATTACACTTCTGTTGGGGGGAATGTAGCTGGTTTCAAGATAAAGCCCTTCATGATCTATCATTCAGAGAACCCCAGGGCTTTAAACATGTCAGCAAGCACACACTGCCAATGTTTTATCGAAATAACAAGAAAGCCTGGATGTCCCTAGTACTGTTTGAGGATTGGTTCATGACTTGTTTCATTCCTCGAGCCAAGGAGTATTGTCTGCAACAAGGGATTGCATTCAAGATTTTGTTAATTTTGGATAATGCTCCGGGACACCGACCACACCTGGACGACATGCATCCTGATGTTAAGGTACAGCGAGTTCTGCTATAACGCATGTTTTGACAACGCGAATTGGCTCTAACGCGATTTATGAATAGAGGAACAATATTTGTATAACGCAAACGCTTGTTTGCTGTAACGCGATTTTTGCTTACTATTTCTCCAATTTTGTGGTATTAACTGTGAATACGGTAAAGAAGAATATCTCCAAGAAGCGTTCTGGTGATCGCATTCCCAGTGATGATCGTAAAAGAAAGGCTATAACCCTTGAAGAGAAGCTCGATGTTATCTACCTCAAAATCACCCTTCTCCCCCATCAAGTTATATTCATATTTTTTCAAGGTAAAGTGTTACATTTACTGTATGATTTCACTATTAGATATGAATGTAGCATTTATTTAGACTGTGCTATCCTTTGTGTTAGGCTAACTACTAAATTTTTTTCGATTTCGAGTAGTAATCTGCACCTAACCCTATTTTCTCCATAAGCCGTTATTTCTATTACGCGAATTTCTATAACACGATGTTTTACAAGAACACAACTATCGCATTATAGCAGAACTGACTGTAGTCTACATTCCACCTAACACTACCTCTGTCATCCAACCCGTGGATCAAGGCACTATTGCAGCTTTTAAAGCTAATTATTTACATACGACCTTCGCTCAGGCTGTTGCTGCTACTGAAGGTGAGAAAATGCTCAGTTTTGGAAGGACTACAACATTTTGACATGTATAAAGAACATTATTGCAGCATGGGATGAGGTTACAAAACAGTGCATGAATGGAATATGGAAGAAAGTCCTGAAAAGATATGTGAACAGTTTCAGAGGATTTAATGAAGATGAAGTAATTTCTGAGATTAGTAACAAGATAGTGCAGATGGGTCAACAGCTTGAGTTAAAAATTGATAATGAAGATGTTGAACAGTTGGTTGAAAGTGTAGCAGAAGAACTAAGTAATGAGGATCTTATCGAACTGGAAGCACAGAAAAATGCAGAGGAAGAAGAGTCCAAATGTAGAAGAACCTGCACCCCCCCCCCCACATTTTTCAGTGAAGCAAATGGCAGAGGCATTTGCTACAATTAATAAGGGGATGCAAATGTTTGACGGAATGGATCAAAATGTTGAGCGTTTTGCCAAAGTTGACAGAATGGTCCAAGAAGCACTTGCTTGCTACAGGGAGATTTATAACGAAAAGAAAAAGCAAACTGTGCAGTCTAAATTGGACATCTATTTTAAGAAGTCCCCCATTGCTGTCTCCCCACACCCCACCAGTGCTGCCTCTTCACTCCCTAAAGATGATCCAATACCTTCAAACCAGCAAGTTTCCCCTGTACATAAACCTGTCGGAAGATAGTGACATTGATGACCCACCCAGCCCTGTCTCCTCCTCTGCTTCATCCAATGCATATAGTCTCCATGTATACCTGTAAATAGAAAATTATGGGGGCCCCGTGTGCATTCAGCTGACTACAATAAAGGTAAATGCACAGTCACACTATATCCATTCTTCATTATTATTACTTTTACTGTACTGTATTTCATTTTAGATTTTATATATTATTTTTTGCATTTCCAACTTACGACCATTCCGACTTGCGACCTGGATTTAGGTCCCTAACCCCGTCGTAAGACGGGGAGGAGCTGTATATTATAAGTAATGGCAAAATATACACAAGTGGATAAAAAATTTATATTTGGTAAGTTTTTACAAGTGGACAACCATGGATTTTTGTTGAGCAATGTGTTTTTCCGTCGGTTTAGACATTGTTAAGACACTTTTCTTCTGACATTTCACTCGCAAATGACTTAAAATTCCCTAACCTAGCTTACTAATGGGGGGGGGGGGCCTCCACCCCTGGATCCCCTGGTATATTTAAGTCATTTGCGAGGGAAATGTCAGAAGAAACGTGTCTTAACATTGTCTAAACCAACGGAAAAACACATTGCTCAACAAAAAAATCCATGGTTGTCCACTTGTAAAAACTTACCCTATATTTTATGCATCCGTTGAAATTTTTTTGAAGAAAAGGAAAATGTGACAATACTGTACAGTACAGTAGTGTGATGGGATACACCCCATTTTGTCATCAACCCTATTTGTCACCAAAAAACCCATTTCGTCACCAATATCAAACCCATTTCGTCCCACTAACAGACCGTTAGTCACTGGTAATTAGAGTCACAAATTGTAAGTCATTATTTTACACCAATAGAAATTACACATGTATACAGACGACTCGAGAATTATTGTTAATATTGTACATGAATATTAATTATCTAATAAAGAAAATGATTAAAACATTGGTAACTAAACAAAATACATTACAAATGAAGGTGATTTGGCACCAGTGCATAAACCACCGAGCAGCAAAGAACAAACTTGCTCTATCTCCTTGTCCCTCTTCCTCAGAGACCTCAATGGTTGATTTGCAATTACAACTAGTTGCTGAGCACAAGCTAAAATCATGCAAAAGAAAAGGAAATCATGACAAACAAGTCCATCTTTGGAAGCTGTGGGATGAATATGAAGAAAAAAATATCACCACTTCTAATTTCCCCCAAAAAATTGTCAGTCTTCTTCCAAGCTTGCACGAGTATTAAAAAAATTTTATTTTATTATTTTAGTCTTTCACATAATTATTGTTTAAGTGAGGCGATTGTAGGCGTATTAACAATTTTTTTTTTTTTCGTTTTAGTCTTTAATAAGTTGTCAGTGTCTTCTTCCAAGCTTGCACAAGTGTTTTTATTTAATTTTTTTTAGTTTAGTCTTTCACATATTGTTCAAAGGCGTTTATTGGAAGGCATTTTCTATGCACATATTTGCTAACACGTTAGTTATTCTGTATGAGCAGACACTGCTTTTGACTTGTGCGCAGGGAACATTCAGAGAAAAGTTAACACCTAGATCAGGCTTTAGCCTTAAGCAGCCCAAATGGCAAACGAACAATCAGCGATTTCTCCCACTGTAAATACACCGATTGCGGCTGCTTATGGAGTATATTTTGATTAATATAGAAGTGTTGGGCATGTAAGGCAATTAAAAAAAATTATATAAAAATAATTCTATATAAGGTAGTATATTAGATAGGACATAAAACAAAGCGTAAGGCACGAAAGAATTGAAAAGTATCGAGCCGAGTTGAAACCTGTTTTGGCTCCACCCTTTTTACGTGGGCGCTGTGCAATCAGCGAGTTTCTCCCACTGAAAATAAACGGATCGTGGACGGTTATGGAGAATATTTTGATTAATATTGAAGAGTCGGGGGCTTGCAAGACCATAAAAAATAATCAAAATAATTCTATATACAGTAGTATATTGGATAGGACCTAAAGCAAAGTGTATGGCATGAAAGAATTGAAAAGGATTACACCCAGTTGATACCAGTTTTGGCTCCGCCCATTTTTAAGCGAGTGCTGTCCGATTTCATTAGCCGTTAGTGACTTTGGTGTAACAATATTGATAATTACTCAAATATGATTAACACTTTAATATCATTACAGTACTTATAAGATACCTGTACTTTAAAAAAGGGTGAAATGTTTATTACAGTTCTGCAAGTGCAAAAATAAAGACAACGAACCTGAATTTCGTCGTATTGCTTGTATATTTTATGCGAACACTTGTAAACAACACTGTGTAGCCGCGAGATGAGAGAACATACAGTACATAGTGGAGCAACTTTCCTGTATAAAAAATTGATCAAGCCATGGTTATTGTTGAATGACTTTTTTTCTCCTTTTGTCTTTCTTTCCATATTTTCCTATATATTTTCTTTACCATTTCCTTCTGTATTGTGTCCATTTTTTAACAGTTCTAATTTTATTGTTTTCTGAAGACTGTTCAACAGTTATTTCCAAGAAGCGGTACAAATGTCGTATTTTTTTAATGACAGTCCGGGAAAGCTAAGGCGTTAGCTATTCAGTGCATCTTAAAACGCCTTACAAAACACGCATTAAGCAAGACAATTGTAGGTGTATTAACAATATTTTTGTTTCGTTTTAGTCTAATAAATTGGGAGATGCTTGCCTGAGTAATAACATTTTTATTTCTTATTTTTGTCTTTATACCGAGGCATAATTTTGTAATACAATTTTGTAAACTAGGTGTTTTGATTATTTTCTATCCCAAGTAACCGTTATTTCGACAAATTTAGATAAATTTTTGTGTATATATTGATGTATTAATTACGTCAGAATTTTCTGGAATGTATGCCCTTGAAATGGCGATGGGAACTATCGAGGTGACGAAATGGGTAAAAACAGTGGTGACAAAATGGGGACACCCCATGTGATGCTCTTCAGTGTTAATTCACTCAAGTAAATGGCCGCGTGTAAGAGCACATTACTATATGTTATTTAAACCACAGGAACACGTATCTAATTTCACTATTTTACTTTTGGATATAGTGCCCCCAAAAATTATAAACTACTAAAACATTTATATTTCCCTATTCTGAGCATTTTGAATCCCATATATACATGATGGAAATGGATAATAGCGACAATTTAATTTAATTGATTTTAAGTAGTTTTCAGTCTTCGCCTGTGAGATGTTATCGGCACATCACGCATGTGCAATGTTGACTGACGTCATCCGGTTGTGACCAATGAGATATGGATATCTTCCACGCAAATTTTTTTTTTACCAATCACATTTGATTTTTTCATAGGAAGCAGCCTGGGTAACTTCACTGACCAATTTTGCAATGGCCGTGGTGGAGGTTGGTTGTCATTTGTGCTTCTACGATTATTTTAAGTTTATTGCCAAGTTTTACAAGAAAGACTATCATTCTATCCAATTCTTACATATCCCTGATCCTTCCACTTCTAAGGTATTGTACTTTCGGACATGGCGCCCCCGCCCCACAGTTTTTTAACTACCGAAACATTTATGTTAGTTTAAGCTAGGCCTACCGCCCCCGGCTACGAGTTAGGTTAGGTTTTGTTAGGTCAGATGGCTCGTTTTCGTTTTCTCCCCAACCAAAAACACCAATTTCCCAGGTTCTCCCCCATTATTGATGCGGGAGGGGACAAAAACGAGCAATTTCCGCCAAAAATGAAAGTCAGATTCGTTTAAAATACGCTGGAAAAACATATTGGTCAACCCCTAGGGACTCGTGTCCTATAAGTAAAAATTTACCCTAATTTCACATCATTGTTACCACATGCTAATAATGAGACTATCTTGAATCATGTGTTTAAAGGTCCTGTAGTTTCAGGAATCACGAGACTAAATGAATTACCACTGCTATCGCTGCCCTCGCTCAGTGTTATTGCAATTATGGGAGGGTGATAAAAGTAATATGAAAGTGTTGTTGTTTACTAAGTGAGGATATGATGGCGCCATCATCTCGGCCCTAGAAGATAAAACATACGGCAGGTCCCAACCTGTAACCTCGCCCGATGTGTGGGAGGTGTTGGTCGCTCGAGCTGACCTTTAGAGTGAACGCACACTAGCCACCACACGAATTACTTGGAACGATACTAGGAGTTGAGTGAAGCGATAAGCCCGCACTCGTAAGTGAAAAAACAGTGATTGTTTGTGTTGTGGCGAAATGTTTGGAACCAAGGTATAGTATACAGAATAATGTATCTTAACCGGCGTATAATGGAATGTAATCAGTAGTTACCGAGGGTCTCGTTCTTTACATGTTTTGATCATATCAACCAATAAAGATCGAGTTCGTTAACATTGTGGGTTTCTCTCGCCCTTAAAATGTGACATTAAATTGTCGAATCATTCAGCAGTTAAAAGCACTTTGTGTAATATAGCATTCGCCGAGTGTTTGTGTTTAAAACAGTCCAGGAGCCACGAATTACCCAAAAGTACCCAAAAGTATAGCAAAAAAGGGTAAAATCTTAACAAAAATCTGTTATACATACACAAAACATGTTTAATAATATTTTAAGTGTAATTTTGTAAAAATAATTTGTAAGATGAAATAATAAACATCGAAAAACTTTCAATATTGGTGAACGCTAAATTCCAAAGAGTTTGTGAACAAGGGAGATAACTCAGATCCATCGTGATACACTTCGCTAACCTAACCTAACGAAAAGTAAATCCTACGGCTATGTTAAATACCCCAAAGTAACAGAAACATCGGTAATTATATCTCCATTTTGGATAGGTGACATCGGAATTTAGCGTTTTTCGCTGTTTATTATTTCATTGTTTTGACTTCATTTCAATGAAAACATTATTAATTAGGTTTTATTGATGTAAAACATATTCGTTAAGATTTTACCCTGATTTAATATACATTTGGGTACATTTGGGTACTTTTGGGTAATTCGTTGGACCGAAACAGTCCTGTTAAATATTTACTGTAATTAGACCATGTTTAGAATTCATGCTTCATTATATTTTATTATTACATTCTTGTTTCGGCTTTATTCATTTCTTGTCTATCTCAGCAGCTACCTTGGGCTACCAATGGTTAAATCGACATACTGTATACTTGCTAACGGTACTACTATAGCATGCGGTCTACAAGATATTTAGGTTTTTAACTTAGGTTAGGTTAAGTTAGGTTAGGTCAGGTTAGAGTAAACATATATTTGTAGACCGCACGCTTTAGCAGTACCTGCTAAACCATTGTTAATTTTTATATAAATTTTACAATTAAAAATTATTTATCCATTTATAAATAAGTAAGTATTGGATCCTCCTGAAAATAACCAGCTAACAGCTTGGTCAAGTTGCCTTACTGTTTACCTGCACTGTCTCGGCACACAGGAAACTATACCCCTACGGCCTACATGTACCATATACCTACATTATCTATATTCATGTTTAACTGTATAACTGCAGAGTATATAAACATGCTTATCCAATTGTAAACCTGTATGACAACTTTACTGAATAAATATTGTTATGGAATTGAGGCTCCTTCTACTACTGTACACCATACTGTTATTTGACCTGACAGGTGAAGCCATTCATTTGATAAATTATATACATCAAAACAAATAAACACGTTCAAACGAATACAAAAAGTGTACAACTTACCATAGTTGTGAGAGAGTTAACGACCGAGTGTCAGCACAACCTATTACTCCAACGTCCACGACACCTCAGGTGGCAAGTGGCAACTGAGAAGCTCAGGATTTGCCCACTGTGTCATGTGACGTCGGCACCAGTTGGAGAACGGCTGTATGGTTCTTTTTCATTACATCTATGAATCATTATAAAAACTATAATCTAATGAGTTTGACTGTAAATTTTTATTTTATCAATAAAATATGTTTTTCAATAAATAAACTCATTGATTGGCGACGACAAAATTAAAACAAGGGAAGCGAATACTCGGACCTCCATGAGATATCATGGTGTGAACTAGTGAAGGTGTGGAACAACTTACCCCCACCCATCCCAGCAATGACTACGCTCCCTTCCTTTAAATCATCTCTTAAAAAATATCTAATGTTTAAGTTTTAATATTTTTTTTGTAATATCTCTTTTATATTCCTGCTTTTATTGTACCACCAAAACCGTTTTATCAGAAATTATCATTCTGATAGATAGAAATTACCATTGCAATAAATATAATTGCCAACTAGACATAATACTGACAGCTCTGCCCTCTTGTTCCACCTTAATATAACCTGTTGTACTGCTTCCCTCATCATATATATGTTTATCAACTCCATTGTAAATTGTGTATACTGTAGTGGACTCCTCCCCTACAAACACCTTGTCGCTGAGTAGCCGACCCCGCGAATTCCCCAGTGTATGCCTTGTGGTCTAGGTCAACCAGCGCCGCCTTACATGACGGAGGTCAATTATTAAGCCACGCTTACCTCCGCTATATAAGACCTGACCTCGTGGTGGCCTACCTCTCTTTTCTACCTACACCAACCAACACCTCCTCCCCCTGCCTGGCGGTCCTCGCTCCTGCCGGCGAGCATGGCGACCCACAAGCTTGTCCTCTTCTGAGCACCCTCAGCAACCAGCTTTCTCTACATCACGCTTGTAACCACGCTGCCACTTCCCAGCACCAAGCTGCACTGTACATCCAATACAATATGTATACAGAGAAAGTCAGAGAGCACCTTGTGAGTTTCCTTTCTCCACCCCATCCTGAGTGTGAACAAAACAACCCGTACCCCACAATACTGTATACTTATAATATAAATGTAAACAAAAATAAAATAAAATAAATAAATATCGAAGTGATAACATTCTAATATGTTCTTATTACCACCATGCTATGTGTACTATTCCAGATGATAGTAATGTTACATAATATTTCCTTGAGTTAAATGTACAGCATATAATATCAGGTGCCTACAAGAGAGCTCAGCTCTCAACCGGCTCAGCCAAGTTAATATTATGATTTTTAATTGACTCTGTATCTGTGTTCTGGCTAAATAAACTGTTTCAATATTAATAAGAATAATAACAGCTCCAACTGAAGGTATGAACCAAGGAATGATCTTTATACCTTGGTATGGACAAACACCAATCTATTCAGACGGAATAATAGAGAATAAATGATAAACTATATATAACATAAAATCATTTACATCTTTGGTTACAGCTTGGTTACAAGCGTTGAGTAGAGAGAGCTGGTTGGTGAGGGTGCTCAGAGGAGGACCAGCTTGTGGGTCGCCATGGTCGCCGTCGGGAGCGAGGACCGCCAGGCAGGAGTGGAGGAGGAGGTGTTGCTGGCTGGTGGCTGTGGGTAGTAAGAGACAGGTCACCACGAGGTGAGGTCTTATATAGCGGAGGTAGGCGTGGTTTAATAGTTGACCTCCGTGATGTAAGGCGGCGCTGGTTACTGACCTAGACCACGAGGCATACACTGGGGAATTCGCGGGGTCGGCTAGTCAGCGACACGGCGGTTGTAGGGGAGGAATCCACTACAGGCTCACATACTGTACATACGTATATGTTGGACCGTAGTCAGACACGGCCCTTTGCCTGTTGGCGGTCCGTTTGGTGGTTCCGGCTGGAGCTCATTGGAGCAGCCAGACCGGATTTGGGATTGGAGGTTGCCCTACTTGCAGATATGAAAGGATACTGCAAGAGATACGATACGATACGAAGTCTTTAGTTATGAGGTGAAAGAAGATTATTAGGGGTTGAAGGAAAAGTGGTGAAACTGAAATACAGTAGGAGTAGAAAGAATCTGGGCTCAACCAGATCGCTTCATCTTTCTTATTGGTGTTTTGTCTTTGTTCTGCTCCATTGGGTCGTCAGACCTTTGTATTAATATTGGTTTATTTATATAATGCTGCTTATTATTATTATTATTGCTGGAGTTAGTGAGCCCGCCCAGGTCCTTGTGTAACTGGGAGGGTAGTCACATTTTTTTTTTTTTTTTTGAGGAGTTAGTTAAGTGTTAGTTGTGTTAGTCTAAAGGTACACTGTATGGAGAGGCCTGCCAGGTTCTTAGTGGAGCTGATAGGTCACTCTCATCTTTATTCCTCTATTAATGCAAGAGGGGCTGGGCTGGGGGGTATTTATATGATGCTGCCGGATCAGCTAGAGAGGTGTGACGTGAGCGGCCCTGCTGATTGGCTGAGGTGAAGGGGGTAACTGGCCAATCACCGTGCAGTCCGAAATTGAGGCCTATCACATTCGGAACTCGCCGCTGGTTGGCTGGTAAGCGGACGGCAAGTGATCAACCAGCAGTTGTCGGGGAGAGTATCCACTGCAAAGCCATTGAGACGGATAAATAACTTATATATATATATATATATATATATATATATATATATATATTTCTTTAGCCCAATAAAGCACGCGGACTTCTACATACAATCAACACCTCAACCCGCCAGGATTCGAACCCACGGCCCACGAGCCCATGACTGTGACCGGATACTGGTAGTCCCCATTAGAGGTTCACGGCGCCTTAAGCTCGTTGAACAGGCTTTGTGTGAAATATAACAAAGTCTAGGACTGCTTTCAGTATCCTGGTGGTCCAGCGGTTAGCGTTCCCCGGTCACAGTCATGGGCTCGTGGGCCGTGGGTTCGAATCCTAGCGGGTTGAGGTGTTGGTTGTATATATATGTATGGCAACCGTATAGGCAAAGCATACTGTGTATGTAAGGTGACCATGTTAAAAAGAACACGTTATAAGATATAAAAATCGTGAATTTTCTTTTAAAGAGCGAATTAATCTAATATTACTGCATAATATACACTGACTATAAAGTAAATAATGGTCCGGTAGTTTTAGTTAAATGCAGATAGTAATAGCTAGATCGTTTTGCCTGAAGATAAATCGTGTTTCAGTTCGTGTATATGTTTTAACATTAGCCATAGCCAATTACAAGACGGATGGCGGAGGTACCGGAGCACGTTAGAAAGTTTTTATTTCGCTCCTCAGATACCAGAAACTCAGCCACTGTTGAGTGTCTTGAGGTCTTGATTCCGGAGGTGAGAACACTGACTTTGCTGCGGGCAACTTAATTATTTTACATAAGGATTATCATAGTGAAATGACACAACTTCCATAGGCCATGTTATTGTTGTAGGAGTCAGAGTGCTGCTTCTCCACATGTTTACTTTACTAACCAAACCTAGCCAACGTTATCCTCTCAACCCTGGCATCTTTGACCTAAGATGGTATTATTTCACTTGTTGCCACGAAGCGAATCCGTAAATTGCAGATTACAGCAACCAAAGAATCTGATAATAAAGGGTCAATTTATAGTCTTACACCAGTCTTTCTCTCGCTGTTATTATTATGTATTTCGTAATGTTTTGACAATTCTAAGACATTTTTTCTTCTGTGATATTTCCGCTGGGAATTAAGGATTACCGACATATTAATTTTTCAATATTATTAGATTCCCTCAGTTACAAGTGTCGCCATGATCTGTTACATCTGGCACCGGTCTTTCTTTTGGTATTAGGAATATGTTTTTCCTTTGGTATTTGATGAGTTTTGAACGAATTTTATAGTAATTTCGGTAATTATATAGGACTAATCCTCGAGCAAAATTGATTGAAAACAACTATAAAAACTCCGGATTTTCATTGTTATATTATAGTGGACACTTGTAGTTTATGGAAATATTTAAAAAAATTGATATTTTTAAAATAAACTCTACTGAACATTTGTGGCTGTGAATAACAGACCTAACCAACCAAACCAAACAAACCTACCTAACCTTACCTAGCTTCCCCGGTATATCAAACAGAAAGAACTTACTATGATATGGTGAAACTTGAGGCATTTTCTCGACGTGAGATGATACGCTGTACACTATATATAGCCCTGGCAGGTTAGTCCTATATATAGATAGATAGATAGATAGATAACCCCCCAACAATCTTAACGGAAAAATATATTTCTTTTTTAATAAATCGTAAAAACAAAATACCAACTAACCAACAAAACCTAACTTAACCTAGCCTTAACCTAACAAGCCCCTGGACCCCCCTTTGTTCATGCCCCCACATCTTGCCTGTCAAAGCTAAAGGTCCATAAGAGTCCCGGCACTGACATGGTGCATCCTAGAATGCTAAGAGAGTTGTGCAACGAGCTTGCCGAGCCCCTGAAGATCCTGTTTTGTAAATGCCTGGATGAACAAATGGTCCACAGTGATTGGAAAGTGGCTTATGTGAGTCCTATCTTCAAGAAGGGCGATCGTCACTCCACGAACAACTATAGACCGGTGAGACTGACCAGCATAATATGTAAAGTACTTGAGAGTATTATCAGAGATGCCGCAATGGAACATCTACTACGAAACATCCTTGTAAAGGATTGCCAACACGGTTTTATGCCGGGGCGCTCCTGCTTAACACAATTGCTCAAGGTATTGGATATTTGAACCCATATTCTGGAACGGGGTGGTAATATCGACAATATATACCTAGATTTTGCCAAGGCTTTCTACAGTGTACCCCACGAAAGGCTGAAAATCAAACTGGAAGGGTATGGAATTCGGGGAAATGTCCTAGCGTGAATGGAAGACTTTCTACATGACCGCAAGCAGTGTGTGGTGATTAATGGCACTAAAACATCATCTGTACCTGTCACAAGCGGGGTACCACAGGGCAGTGTATTGGGCCATGCAGTAATTGCATGTCAACAGACTTCCTGGTGACACTTTAGCCTCTAATTCCCTACACCCCTTGGCTGTTGCTGTTGGGGAAGTGGGGGAGAGTATGCAGACTGTATGAATCTACTCGGCCTTAAGCCCACCAGTTACAAATGTGATATAATTCTAATCGTGGGCTTAATAATAATATTATTCTTTACTATTACTATGATAATTGCTTCTAATCTGTGTCTTGGTAGCAGGGCCTTAGCATCAAGATCCCTTTAAAAGCCCGCCCCGCTGCCTGCTACCTCGGCCGCTTTGTCTAGTGCCAACCACCAGGCTCTCACACTTAATTTCTTCTGACGAAGAAACCCCCTCAGTGGGATGACTTCATTTATAATTACATCAACTAATTGTAGTCTAAGTGAACTGAGATGTGGGAGTGATCACGCCATTGTAGCAAACTAATGTTATTAAAAAAATAAATAAATAAAAATCACTTGGCTGCCCTCTACTGGAAACCTCCCTTGACACTCTTGTTCATCCAGTGTTGCCGTCCAAGACAGTTGGGCTTGTTTTTGTTTTTTTACTCCTTGACGAGTTGTTGGTATCAATGTACTATCACTGTGTACACTGTATCCTGCTATGAATGGTGGATCATATGCAGATTCACAGTCATTTAAAAAACACAGAAAAAAATTACTTTCTTTGTGGCGGCAATAAATGTCATTCGAGACAGCCTGGCTTTTTTTATTTATTTATTTTTTTATTTATTTTTTTTAAACTAATGATCTCTTCCAGTTCTCATAAACAAATATACAGTAGAACCTCGATAAATCGGACTAATTGGGGCAGACCCCAGTCAAAAAAATGCGAAAGTCCGAAAAAAGCGAATAGTATATAGGGGGGGGGAGGGGTTTGGAGATAACACTGTTTATCTAATTGTATAAAGAAAATCAGTTATTATTATGTTATTACTGCACTTCAACAACCAAGGTCTTTAAGTGAATAACAAGGTTATTAAAAGAATATTACATCAACAATAACCAATTATGAAAAAGAACTCATGGTTGAAAATCAGACACCTAAGTCTGGTTGTCAGCAACTGTTGTCACCAAAGATGATTGTTATTTACTGTAAAGTGTTATATGTAAGTAACCACAGAATTTGTCTTATGAATAAAGAGAAAACTGTATACTGTACAGTACAATAAAGATAAAAACAAGAACAAGTAAGTGTAGGAGTATATTGTATGTGGAAGACGAATGTTTATCTGGGAGCAGAGGGGAAGGGGGGTAGCACAAGTGGGTTGCGAGGTTGATAAAATTGTATCCTAAAAGAATCGGCTTTCCTGAAAAAAGAATCCTCCACTGAACACCAGGAGTCATTTCATACTCATTTGTTTACAAAGGGCAAACAGCTGATTGGCTTACCGCAATGTCTGTCTTCAACACTTAGTACAGTACAGTAGTTATTTATCACCACTAAATAAATACTATTGTAGTGTATTTATCACCACTAAATAAATACTATTGTAGTGTATTTATCATCACTAAGTAAGTAATATTGTAGTGTAAAGTATTAGGTATCTGCATATACCCTGGTTTGTTCATTAATCATTTGTCTAAGTGTACAAGTAGCCAAACTGAGCCATCATATAACACTCAAAGGGAGTAAATAACGTTGTTAGGAAGGTATCTTCATATCAAATACTATACAGTGTGTTATTGTAACCCCTGATGTAAGCTGGTCTGCTGAAAGCTCTCACATGAACACATCTTAAATAAATAACCTTCTGATACAGCTTATCCTTTGATTTTTAAGTCGTATTACAAATTACATACAGTATTGTATTTTTTCTCTATTACTGAAGATGTTATATTAATCATGATGAACCATAACCCATAAGAGGCCAATCATATGATAATATAATACTGAATCAATAAATAAATAAACCTGACAAATGTGGCAACACCTGATCAGCCCCCAGCCTGCTTATAAACTCGGGTGTCTTAGTTCTCAGTAGGCCTATGGCAAATCTGATTAGACCACTGTAAAGTATTCAGTAAGTGTTGTTCATTTCATAAGATTTTTTAAAATTAATCTTCCCCATTTCTTAAAACTTTTTATTTTATTTTATTTTTTTCAGTATTTCTGGTGACCAGAGCATCCCAAAGTCCAAAAAAAGGGAATTCCAATATATTGAAGTCCAATTTATTGGGTTTTACTGTACCTCTATGTGCTATCACTGTATATTGTATCTCCCTATGAATGGTGGATCGTGGGCACAACTTCAGTCCTTGAGAAAGCAAACACACAAAAGAAAAACTTTCTTTGTGGCACCAATAATATAACTTGGTTACTGCCAGCAGTGGTGCCTGATTGCTTGCCCTAATTTGTTTTACACTTTGATTTATTTACAACCTCCTCTGCAATCATTGTTGTCACTGTGGTATATTGAAAGTAAATACAAGATGAGGAGACTGCAAGAAACAGAGGAATTAGGAGAGATGTCTGTATTGAAGCAGGAAAGGAAGAGCGAGTACCCGGTATACTGTATACAGTATAAGAAGAAAATATGGAGAAGTTTCAAATGTGTCATGATAGGTATTTGTAATGGGACCTTGAGGAAGCAGCACCTGGCTTATAGGTATATTAGGTTTAAGAAACTTGTGAAGATATTTAGGGAGGATTGTGACAAATAAGGTTTTTAGTTGGTCTGTTTTCATTTTATAGTTATTTGTAAGAAAAAATATGCTTTATAACTATGATAATGTTCAGTATATCTTGGTTTTCTCTTATTTACTTGAACAATAATGAATTGGCTTATATTGTGTGATGTAGGTGCTTGTCCTATTCCAGGTAGTAAGTCCGAGCTATGGCATGTACACATGGCCTTGTGCCCCAGTGCTGGCACAGTATGTTTGGCATCATCGTCACAGCTTTACCAATTGCACCGTCTTAGAGATTGGTGCAGGAACTGCTCTTCCAGGCATTGTTGCTGCAAAATGTGGTGCCCAAGTGATTCTTTCAGATTCTGGCCAGTTACCCAAGTGTCTTCGCAATTGTCAAATGTCTTGCCAGGCAAATGGTATAGCTGGCTCTGTTGCAGTTATTGGGTTGACCTGGGGACTCTTTACCCCTGAACTATTGCATCTTGGACCAATTGACACCATCCTGGGTTCAGACTGCTTTTATGATCCTGCTGTGTTTGAGGACATCCTTGTGACAGTGTCATACTTACTGGAGCACAACCCCAGGGCCCAGTTTGTTTGTTCATATCAAGAACGGGCATCTGATTGGTCCCTGGAACACCTTCTACACAAGTGGAATTTGTCTTGCACAGAGTTAAAGTTAGCAACTTTTGATGCTGACACAACCAACATAGCAGACTCCAACCTACCTGGTTCTCACACAATTCATGTGTTTCAGATCACCAGAAGCTCCAGCAGTTGAGATATAGCTAACGCAGCGAGGCACCATCTCATCGCCTGTGTTGTGCCCAGACCCACTCTTGGATTATTACCAGAGAAGAAGTGCTTTCAAAACATTCCAGAAGCTCGATGGCATCCCGTAACATTTACCGGATGTTTGTGGGAAACCTGCCCTGGACAGTGGGCCATCGGGAACTACGGCAGCATTTCTCACAGTTTGGTCACGTATTTAATGCAAATGTGGTGTTTGACAAGTCCACGGGAATGAGTCGAGGTTTTGGATTTGTTCAGTTTGGTAATAGTAATAGCTTTGATGCTGCTATCAGTAAGTCTACACATTTTCTTGAAGGACATATTTTGGATGTACAGCCAACAAGCAAATAGCTAATAAGGCTCTTTGTAGATGACAGTGTATCAATATGTAATAGTTGAAACTGTAGTACTTGTTTTTAGATTATTTTAGGAAGATATCAGTGTTATTCATTCTGAGCACTATGGATGATCTAGAAGACTATTCTCCAGGTTTAGGGGAATTGGATGCAATGTTCAATAAAGCTGCAGCTCACCTTCAGTCTCTTGCTGGTACTCTTGCTCAAGATAAGCTTCTCTTCTTTTATGCTCGATATAAGCAGGCAAATGAAGGATCCTGCAATACCCCAAAGCCTGGCTTTTTTGATTTTAAAGGCAAGCAAAAATGGGAGGCATGGAAAAGTCTTGGAGACTTAAGCAAGGAGGAGGCCATGAGGGAGTATATTAATGCCATTATTGATATTGATCCAGACTGGGAACTTAAGGTTGAATGTGAGGGTGGTCCAAGGACTAGCTGGGTGAGAGTTAGCAGCCTCCAGCCACAAAAAGAAGATAATACTAAAGAGGAGGACAAAAACTCCTTTGATTGGGTAAAGGAAAATAATGTTCATAAAATTAAAAGTCTCAATCCTAAAGCCATATCAGAGAAAGATGAGAATGGGATGACACTCCTGCACTGGGCAGCAGACAGAGGACACACACAAATTGTCCATTGTCTTTTAGAAAAAAAGATAAACATTAATACACAGGATGCAGAAGGCCAGACTGCTCTTCACTATGCAGTTTCCTGTGGTCATATAGAGATCATCCAACTTCTCTTGGATCATGGAGCTGATTCCACCATCCAGGACTCTGATGGACTAAAGGCTGAAGAATGTGCTGAAGATGAAACTGTCAAGATTTTGTTTAAATAATTGTAATTACTTGTAATTTAGTTATATAGTATTAAGCAAAATTGACAGTTCAGTGTTGTGTTATATATCAATGCAGTGTATTTTGATTTTAGAATTATGTTCAATATAACTAAAAAGATAATCCAGTAACATTTTAAAATTTATACTTACATCATTACTGTAAATACAAACTTGCATCTTTACAAAATTAAACTTAGTAAAGCTTGATTTTTTTCATCTTCCCCCATCTTTAACATTTAATTTTTATGGCCTTTTTTCATGCTTGCATGTGTTAGCCACAATTACCTGATGACAGCTCTCTGTGCTGTGCAGTTTCTTGCTGCATCTCTTCAGGTTCTTACTCCGATGTCATTTCTTACAACTTCCACCCCATGTCCCCATGTCATTCTTGGCATATCCCTGGCTCTCCTCCTCACTTTAGACTTGTGCACCTTTTAACACATTTAATCTCTCATTCTCTCCACATGCCCAAACCATCTCGGTGTTTCTTTATGCAACACTTTGCCAATACCCGGTACAGTACTATCCCCTGTATACTCAAAATACCCAGCTCCCCTTTCAGTGTCATATTGCACATCCAACCCATCATTTTCATTTCATTTTGCTCAAGCCTGCATATGTCATCCTCTGTAACCCCTAACCCCCTAGGCTTCAGTTAGTCATATGATGAATGTGTACAGGGCTTTGGTTTGCATATGACATTATGAAATTTCACTGTACTGTTTGAATTGCCACGTGGGCTTACCCTGCTTCACACACAGACCACTTCATGCACATTCTGTTTTTATTTGGTGTTTAAATTTTCCCGAATATACCCGCTTGGGTAGCCAACCTCAATTAATGTAGGCTGTTGAGATGGCAGCCAACATCAACTGTTCCTTTTATTCCTGTTTTTGCACATATGGGGGCAGATTAGGGAATCATAACCCAATGTTTTCCTGCTATACAACACTGCAGATTTATCATGCCAGTTGCATACATCTTTCCCTTCATGCAAAGGGAAGGTTCTCTTGACATTAATAAAAGGCAGCAACTCAACTCCCTAAATTTCCCCCAACCACTTCTGACTTGCAACTGAACTAGCTTCAGCACCACCTACAGCACTGGTCATGTCACCCAGGTAACAGAACTAACTCATCAACACAGTCCAGGGATATGTCTCCTCTGTTGGAATTTTTCCAGCTTTGTTAAAACTATGTGATAACTTGTGCATATAAAACATTTAAAGTTGGCAACGTCCTGTAGTCTACCATTTACAGTGTAAATGACAGACTGCAGGATGTTGCCAACTTTAAGTGGTGTAGAGGTTACATTACTGTATCTCTTTGTGTGCTCAAGTTCTACACTTGCCACACATTATTGAGGTTCTGCTAACCCCTTTCTTATAGACAGTACATGGCCATTATCCACTTTCCACCACACGGTCCCTCTTGCATGCCACTAATGATTATTATTTATTTTTCCACATTTGGTCTCAGCCCCCATGACTATTCCATCCTTTTATTTCTTTAACATTTTCACTGCCCCCTCAATACTATCTGCTGTCAGCCCTAACCCATATCAGCATACAACAACTCCCAGGGCAGATAATATTTATAACACCATGATAAACAGAAGGGACTCTAGACATACCCTTGATGAATGCTAATTTTTACATGAAATTCCGTGCTTTCCTCACTATTTACTCTCACTGATTTTTTTTGCCTTCATATAATTCTATGACCACGTGAAAATAGCACTACTTGACCATAAATTTCTCATTGCCCTCTGTACTACATCACATGGCACCCTATCAAATGCCTTCTCCAAGTCTTCAAATAAAAACTACATTAGAACTTTTTATTCATTCTTATACATTTCTCTTGTAGTTGCCTTTATCTGTAAACACTGCCTCTGTAGCAATGGTATGGTGTCAAGCAATTTAAAAGGTAATTACTGGTCAGTTGTCTACCAGAGCTAAAGAATGAATAAACTTAAAGAAATTGACAGAAATATGCAAATAATATGGTCTAAACATAAATACAACAAAGTAATACAGTGTTCTTCCCTACAACATGACAGGCCAGTGTCATATTTATCTGCTACTGCATCATAGATTAGGGTAGAAAAAACGAAGATAAATGTTAATGTCTACTCTCATAGATATAATCGACAACTGAACCCTAAGGTTGGCCTACTCACACTAATCTTAACACAGTTCATGAAATTGTGTACTGGAACAAAATAACTGTATTTATGGTGTGTAAATATCAACAGAGGCAAATTTCAAGCATCTGAATATTCCTTGTAGTACAGTATACAGTAAACCCTTGATAATTCGTCACATGGGCTCTGGCTTGCCAAGTTATCCCGAATTCCGACAATGAGGACCACACCCCACAAAAAAACATTAAAAATATCGACCCATATATGTATATACAGTAGTACAGGTTGACCATCAAAAATCCGGCAATCGATAAACCGGAACCTTCAGTTTTCTGGCATGGATTTCGGAGCGCATTTTCAAATATTTCTTTGTTTATTTAATGAAGATATATGTTTTAGCTCATAAAATTCATACAAATTACCCGGCCAGAATATAATTTACATTGCTGGAATTCTTACAATTTGATGATCATTTTGAATACAAACATCATAGATTTTGCATTAGACATACAAATTTTAGATATAATGTTTACTCTTGAGTAAATATGTTATCTTCTGTGCAAAATATATGACATTTATATTCAAAATATTCCTGGTCTTGCAAAGAATCCAGCAATGTCAATTATATTATCCAAACTTTAGTTTGAGGTATTATTTATTACTAAAAGTTAAAATTAGTTTTTTCACCCAACATTTCTCTGGTAGGGGTGGGGGGGAGGGTTGGGACCGACCGACCATCTAGCGCTGTTGGAAGAGGGGGGAGGCAAGTTGGGGTACTTTGATTGACAGATAGTGTCGTGAAGAATATTTTTTTTTTTTTATAAACTGAAGATATTTGTTTTAGCTCATAAAATTCATACAAATTACCTGGCCAGAATATAATTTACATTGCTGGAATTCTTACAATTTGATGATCATTTTGAATAAAAACATCATAGATTTTGCATTAGACATACAAATTTTAGATATAATGTTTACTGAGTAAATATGTTATCTTTTGTGCAAAATATATGACATTTATATTCAAAATATTCCTGGTCTTACAAGGAATCCAGCAATGTCAATTATATTATCCTAACTTAAGTGTTTAATTTTCTTTGTTTAAAGGACTGTACAGGTAGTCATTTTCTGTTAAACTTATACAGCAAATATAACCATCAGTTTAACGGCATTTTCGAAAATCCGGCACTCCTCAGGTCCCGAGGTTGCCGGATAAATAAAAATATACCTGTATATATATATATATATATAGTAACAATGTCATGAGTTTCCCACCAATTTCAAGCCAATAGTATGAAGGCCTTAGGCCTGTCTTCGACCAATGAGAAGGCCTATGAGGCGTGACGTCGTGAAGGTTGTGGCGTCCTTGTGGGCTGACGCAGTTTGAAAACGGAGTCTCTGTTGGAATTTTGTGTAGGGAGGTGTGGGACTTCTGTGGTGGCGACATGGCAGGTATTTGGGTGTATTCTATTTGGTAAATCCTTAAGTTTCCATTTGTTATGAGATACATGGTCCCCATTTAATTAGCTAGGAACATAGGTTTATTGTTTTGAAGTGTAACTATTAAACCCTAATATAAAGTATTCAATAAATACAGTAACCATTAATAAGAGTCCTAATTCATCCCTCCTTTCTTGAGAAAGAGTGATGTGTTATAAATGTCTTGGTATTATGCAGTAATACGGCGAGTCCTATATACAATAACTATCCTATATTTCCCCTCTGTGGAGTATTGTATCTTAGTTCCCCTAACCAGCTTCCCTGAGTCTCCCCTGGCTGGTGTGTGTGTGGGAAGGCCAACTGTAAGCCTATATCACCAGCCGACTGCAACCATAAAAAATTACCTCCCTCACTCTCGCCACCTCCCACGAGTATAACGAGAAAGAATAGCAGAAATAAGTAAGAGTAAGTGAAAGAAGTAAGAATAAGTAAATAAATATAAAGAATTAAAAGACAGTCGGGAATCGAACCCTGGACCTCTACATGTGAACAGGGATCATTACCACCGCGCCACAAGGACAACAAAAGCAATCCTAGGCTTTGTTATATTCCACACAAAGCCTGTTCATCGTGCTTGTTAAGCGCCATGAACCTTCATTGGGAGTTGCCTGTGCCAACTTTGTGTGGAATTATATATATATCCATGGAGAGACCTAATCAGACAAGAATAAATAGATAGAACAGACAGCCAGGCATGAAAGATGAGGTATTATGGAGAGAGACAGTCTGTCAACAAGGAAGAGATCTTTACCTTTGACCCATGTGACTGCCACTTGGACTTACCCAACCTTAGGTAATTCCCAAGTGATCCATCAAACAGACCACACCAAACTTGGCCCATAAACTCGCACATTGAAATGTTTATATTGTTGACTAGTTATACTTATTTCACTGTTACATTTTCTTAGTTACTTACTCTTAGGTGATGAAAGAATAATGAATTGTGTGAAGCTTATTCTTTTAATACATATTGCTTTACTCACCATAAACTGGCTGCATCTAACTGAACCGCTGGCCACATTAAACAGATTTTCTCAATCACTCTGCGGGCCGCATAAAAACATGGTTCGGGCCGCGTGTTGCCCATGCCTGCCCTACACTATCTACACTACATCATCTACACATCAACCACACTATCATCAGCACTACAATATACACAATCACTTTTAGGGGAGCAGGGCTGACCCCCTCTTCTCACTAATTTAGACATCTTAACAAGGGGGTTCCACCTTTAGGGGTGGTCTGATCACCTTCAGGATACTTCTGGGGTACATGCACATATCCACACCAAACCTCAACTCAATCTTCAAAGCTGTAGCTTGCATAACAGACAAACAAACAGACACTGTGCTTATAAAGGTACTGTATATAAAAGATGATTGAATGTTATGAATCACGTCTAACCCATGCAAAAGTAAACTCTCACCAAAAACTTCTTGAATGCTATAAGGACTATACAATCTGAAAAATGAAAGAAGAATCTGAAACCATTGAGATAACAAGCCCCATTCTGCTCATTATCACATCCATCGTGCCCAAGTGTTTGAAAAGTTTTTGTT